CTACTACTACTCCTGTTGCTGCTGCTACTACTACTACTACTGCGACTACTATTGCAACTGCTGTCATCAGTACTACTATTACTGCTACTGCAACTGCAACTGCAACTACTACTACTACTACTACTACTACTACTACTACTACTACTATTACTGCTACTACATCCCCTAATACCACTGCCACTGCCATTGCCACTGCCGCTGCCACTACTGCTGCTTCTTCTGCATCCGTTACCACGCCTCCTACGACGACTGAATTCCTGCTACCAAGACATCTATGCAATCAGCGGCGGTGTTGTTCGCTTGTAACATTTGGATCAGGGCTTCTGTGCCGGAGGAGGACAAAGACAACTATGAACGACAGCAGTGCCAGGCTTTCGGATGTTTTTCAGCTTTCTCGTTTGCGATGGATGTGGTATGTCCATGTGGCTTGTGTGGGTTTCAAATGTTATCTATCATTTGTACCGGTTGGCCGGCATTCGTCCCCGCAGTGCGCACGGCGCCCGGCAGGAGTTTCAGTGAATGTTCCCCATCAGGTGGTCAACTTGCAAGTCGTAGTATTTGAACAAGTTGTTTCGTTTACTTCTATCGCGATATGACGTGGGCTGAGCTGTATTGGAAGCCGCGGCAGGACACTCGCCCCAAGGAGATTTGCGCGTGCAAGGGAACTTGCAGGTGCGTGCTGACCAGATTTTTCATTTTGTTCCATGATCACAGGAGCATTTGCTTATGTATGCTGCTGCATGTTCTTCTTGAACACATGAATGTGTGCAGGAGTGGGTATCTTACCAGCGGCTGCAATTGCATTGTGTCGATGCTTGCATTTATGCAGCGGCAGAAAGCTGGCAACACACTCGAAGGTGCGAAGAGGAAGCGGCTTCCAGGGATTCCCGAATCAGTTGGATTATGGCTTGTATTTTTTTGGTTGCGGAGATGAATGTCAAAAGTACACCGACGGCGAAGACAATGTGCATTTTTCTCGTGACAAAGACACATTGGTGTACGTCCATGGCTGGGAGGTGGACAGAGTTGGTCAGCTTTACCGTGAAACCTTCAATTGGAAAAAAAACGAGCCCAGATGTGGCTTAGATGTGGACTTGGCTCGCGCGTGGCTGGAGAACGGCTGGAATGTTGCGGTGTTTTACTGGGCGGCTTGGCGAGACCCATGCATTTGTAATTGATGTTGACGTGACTCGTGACTTGTGGATGATGTGGGATTGAAGGATATTGCCCACTTGACGCAGTCCATTGTCACTCCGATGCTGTCAAGGACATGTTTTCTGATGAACCTTGGTTGCCGGACGCTGAAGCCAAGATTTGGACAGCCCGTGGTCGCAGGTCACGGATTTTCGGATGTGGTTAGAAACGCTGCAGATGAGACTTTGTCAGACGGAAGTGTTCTCTCCAGCTTGCTGGCGG